ACACCAATGTCTTAAGGGAACCGAGATAAAGGGCTCTGCAACATCAAACATATCTGAATACCGTCCTTTAGCCGCGACATCACCGATTGGTACAAGGTCACTGGCTCAACCCTACGACAAAACTGTGTCGGGGTCAGTGTGTCAGGTCAGTATGCAACCTTCAACCGACGGTTACGGTCACGCGTGTAGAGGTAATCGCGTAGACGAGAATCCCGCAACAAGCACTAGAGACGTGGCTAGAGAAGTGCAAGTATCAAAAACTAAAGTGTGGCAAACGCTGCGTGAGGAGGGGCTGTATCCGTTTCACGTCCAACGTGTACAAGCTCTTGAACCTGACGATTTTCCAGCAAGAGTGCGGTTTTGTGAGTGGTTGTTGCATCAACATGACAATAATCCGGACTTTTTGAAGTGCTTATTGGTGACAGACGAATCTACGTTCACGCGTAATGGGGTGAATAACTTTCGCAACACTCATGTTTGGTCAGTAGAAAATCCGCACGCTGTCCGTCGGGCACATTTTCAACAAACATTTTCGGTGAATGTTTGGGCTGGACGGGATGCAATACCTAGACTTTTTACGCAACATTTTGCCTTCCTTGTTAGAAGATGTGCCATTAAGTGTAAGACAATCAATGTGGTTTCTATTTTTTTAATTTAGCACTTAATTCGTGCATTAAAAAAGTGGCAATTAACTTCAGTATCCAAAGTTGTTCAGACAAAGAAGATCATAGTATTGAGACATGTTGTAGTGTAAAGAAACTAGTGATATACGTCAGCCTTCGTCCGTCTGACCACATCCGGCTGTTTCGTACTTTTTGGCAACTCGTCGGCATGGTCTATGCCTGGTCTCAGGTAGGACAACAAACGAAAGGTGAGCAACTATCCTCGATCGTCTATCATGACAGACGAAATCTATATTACTAGTTTATTGAATGGTGAGTAGACCATATTTATTATACCACCATCTGGCGGCCACAGTGGTGACCTGAGTATCGAATGCGAATTGGCATACAGTTTCACCAGTCAGCTTGCTGTTTCACTCTAGCAGTGGTCGATTCTGGTAATAGATAGCACTTTGTGCTGTCCTATGTTGATCTTGTAATATCCTTTCCTTTGTGGCTCGGCATAGACAATATAGACGGTCCATGACATTTCTCTCCTAGATGTCTGGGAAAATCTCCAGCTTTCTCTCTCTCAATAAATAATAATAGAAGCAAAAGAAAATTCAATTTTTCCTTGGCAAGACATTTCCATTTCTTTTGAGCTTTCCTCTTCCAGACATCTCTGTATTCACATCAAACGTAAAAGAACGTACAGTATGTATTCGTGTACGGATGTTTGTATCCAGTTTCATCCATCATACTCTTATCTGGTATCGGAAAAGCATACAAAGCAGATTCTTACAATACCTATCGGCTTTCGCTATCATATTTCGTACACAATACGGTTTGCCTGACTACGAAGCGGTGATAAGAAAAGTCGACGGACAGCTGTGACGTATACGTGTACAGGGGGTTGCAATAATCTTAAATCGAAAGTGCTAAGCGCCGTATGATTAAGATAATGTAACAAATAGTTGGTTTATAAATGATTAAAGTATTCTTTATGGTGGAATATTTTGTAGGTAAAGTGATTTATAACCTTCATAAGCCCATCAATTTTTGAGGGTATTTTCTAAAATATATTTCTCAACTCAATTACCTTCGAGGTATGTTTCTCAAATATATTTTTAATTTATTATAAAAAAGTTTAAATAAATTGCTAATTATTGTAACAAGTTATACAATGGACCTCCGGTAATCCGACAAACATTATGTCGGACTATCGAATTTGTCGGATTATAGAGTACTGCCTAAGACTCCCTATAGTACGGAATTTTTTACAAAAGAGTACCTTGTAATCCGACAAATTACATATCCAATGGTAAGATTATATTATGTTATGTATATGTATGTACTTTGAAGTACAAATCATACATAGCTTATGTATGTCGAATTTAGTAAATTAAATAACAATAGAGAGCTTACGTTTTATTATAAAATTAAGCATAAATGTACATACATATGTACCAAAATAATCAAGAGTTATTAATCAAAATCATTAATGAATTAATCAAGCGATGAAGCTTGGAAATATTCATCAATTTTTTGTTTGTTTAAGGTTGTTATAACCTGAGATCAGAGCTTTGTCCCTCAGTCTCCTCAAAAGTAAAAGATCGTTGAAGGATGTACCATTCTCTTTAGCCCATTGTAAACCTAGCTCAAAGGCGCCAATTTCGTCTTGTGCTGTGACTTGTGGAGCAGTTGCAATCACATCGTCGTTATTTTCCTGATTGTTTGTTGTATGATTAGAAACCTCTTTTATAATCTCTTCGTCAGACATTTCATGTAAAACATTTTCCTCTTTAACCATTCCACAGCACCAGATTTCCAAATCTTCCGGACTTATCTGTGTTTCAGTAGCGACTTGCTCTATAAACTCCGAAGTAACACTGACTTGTGGAACGTTGCTAGGAGTGGTTACTATATCTGGCCATAACTTTTTTCAAGACGATTTAATAGTTGATGACTGTAACGCATTCCACGACTGACAAAGAGCAAACACCAAGGCTTTCATATTAAATTCTTTTAAAGTTTTTTCTATTAGCTGGTCTTTTGATACGGCTCTCAGAAGTAGGTTTTTCTTATAGTCTTGCTTGAATGATATCCTGGTGCATTAGTTGAATCAGTGCAGTGCAATTTGGCGGAAGAAACATCGCAGTGTTAAGGATAAATCAGTTGTTAGTTCTTCTTCAGACGGATGACCGTTATCAAGAGGCACCAACGCTTTTTGAGGAAAATTATGATCTTTTAACCATTTTCTAACTTCAGGTACGAAGCATTCATCAAAAAAATTTTTGAAAAGGTCTTTTGTCATCCATGCATTTTTTGTCCGTAATAGTGAACAGGTAAATCAATGTTTTTGAATGCCCTGGGTTTATTAGATTTCCCAATGACCATCATCTTAAGCGCGTGTGTGCTCGCAGCGTTAGCACATGGTAGTATGGTTACACGCTCTTTACTTACTTTTCGTCCAGGTACAGATTTTTCGTTACAAGAAACGAAAGTTTTGTTAGGCATCACACGCCAAAAAAGCCCAGATTCGTCTGCATTGTACACCTGTGACAGGTCAAGATTTAAATCGTTCACCTTTTGCAAAAATCTTAATTCAAAGGGCTCTATGCAGGTGGCATCGTTAGAAAGTTTCTCTCCTGTAATAGTCATTAAACGTATGCCATGACGACTTTTAAAACATTCTAGCCATCCTTTGCTGGCCACAAAATCATCTTTTTTAGTTATTTCCTTTTAAAAAAACTCAGCTTTCATAGCCAACATGGGTCCTAAAATTGGTGCATGCCTATTTCTTTCCTGAAGAAACCACATGTACAAAGCTTCTTCCGCTTCTGGACGTTCAGCTTTCTCTTCAGCTGTCTCTTGCCTGGTCCGCAGTCAGTAGTTGACACGAACTTATTGATCTTCTCGTGGTTTCTTTTAATGTCATAAACTGTAGATCGGCCTACGCCGTATTCACTTGCTAGACTACTGAAAGTTTCATTGCGGTTTAAGCATTTTTCTTTAATTGTCAATGTCTTGTGCTTTCGCTTCTGAGTTTGTGATGACATTACTAGGTACTATACTTAATACACAATGAATAAATAGTAAACAAGAAACGCGCGCTAGGCCGTACCGCTATCACCAGTGGTCAAATTCAAACTAAGTAAAACAATGCTTACGCGTCGAGCACGATAGCGGTGGCGCGTACAAGTTGTAACCTGTTCAAACCTCCGTGATCTACATTAGCGAAGATTGTCAAATACGTATGTATGTAATACATATTCAAAGACTTGTCGGATTACAGGGGGCGCCGGATTAGACAGGGACCGGATTATCGGGGGTCCACTGTAGTGAGTTTTGTACCTTGGGGATGAGCTGCACCCCGCTCGGTATGTAAAGTCAGGAATGTGATTACCAACCGGACATCATTTTGCACTATAACAAAACAAAGGGTGCAGTGCATACAACAGATGAATTGGCAAAGGAATTCAGGACTCAAGCGAAGAGTAATCGGCGGCCGATGGACATATTTTTCCAGCTACTGGATATTAGTGGCATCAACGCATCTAAACTTTGGGTGCTAAATATCTAGATTGGAAAAAATCATTTTGATACAAGAAGAATGTTTTTGTTGAAGTAGAGCCAAAAATTAATAAGGTAAATTATAAATTGTAGGTACCATAATGACACGCTTTTACATTCCAATATAAGACAATCCATGTTAACCATTTTGCCAGAATTAAATGTAAAGAATGAACAACTAGTTCCCTCTATTGTCAGACAGCAGCCATGTTTCTTACGCGACAGACGTAAAGATTTGTATTCGGTGCAATCAGTACGTATGTGCAGAACATTAGAAAAAATGTAACAGTTTGCAACAAGTGTGCTAATTAAGTTATTTATTTTAAAACCTCACAGATATATTCTTTTAATTAGAATGTATTTTTATCTTTCAGCTATGACAGAGGTGCAAATATGTCATCATTTGTCAAATTGTCCCTAACCACAAATCGACTAAATGTCCGTCATTTTCATTTCCATTTGTTTTCTCTTCCACATCCGCTGGCTGGCGCTAAATTCACGCACCGAGATTTTATAGTACTTGAACCACCACGAAGTCCTTACGCTTAAACCATGGGGATACAGTGGGAAGGAGGCAGTTGTCACACATGCACACATTCTGGCCCGGCTTTTGAGATCCGCCGGGTGGTACCTCCACGTTCGACAGTCATAAACCGTCTACCACCTACGGATAATCACAACATCCATAGCCAAGAGAACAATTCTATTGGGACTGATAGTAGTCTACTAATACGCCAACGCGAATATGGATTATCGTCATTTGACGTAAAATCGGACAATTCATAAGTAATATTTTACGATATTGACAGCCTCATTTCCTTACAGGTTTCCCTACTGATGGTTCCCACGACTGTCGACAACAAGGGAAAGGTAAGGTAGAATAATGTCTGTATAGCGATGTTTAGAATGAACCCATTACTCACTTTGTGATCACGATGTCTATCATAAAAAAAGAAAAATGCACAAAAAAAAATTGCAGCTGTTGTATGTGACTCGGTATGACACATTTCACCATAGAGACAACGCCTATAGTTCCATTATCTGCCCGATAATGTTTCTTTTTTTATCCACCGCGTAAGCTGCGATCGATTCAATTACCCTGATTATGCACTTCGTTCCATGCGAATATTCTACAATATTTTGTAACTAACATATTTTTATTAAAGATGCACACCCGATGAAGCGTCGCGAAGAGAACAGAGGTGACATTTGTCATTTGCAGGTATTAAACGTGACGCGTTGTTTCTCTTCCCATCGCATTTGACAGGGTGTGGCATGCGGGCCTCCTGTATAAACTAATCCAAAAGGGCTTCCCTCGTTGGCTTCTAAAACTACTGAAATCCTTCCTTAAAGATAGCAAATCTTGGAGCAAAATTGACAATGTCTTGTCGCCTGAGGTTTGATCCTTGGACCAATCCATTACATTCTTGACATCCCTAGCTCCAGGTATGGTCTGGTGATCTAGACCAAGACAGTCTACAAAGTGCGGTGGAGAAAGTATTAGAGTGAGCGGATCGGTGGTTATTTGAAATTAACCATTCGAAAATGCAGGAAATCTATTGTACGGAAAAGAAGTCGCGGTGCCCCGTCTGAGGTTTCAATGAATGATGTTTGTATACCATGGAAAAGCTCCTCTAAATATCTCGATGTCATTCTGGACAAAAAGATGACTTGGAGTTAATAACTAAATTCCAAATTACGTTTCAACATCTTTATCAAATATCATGTAAACGCTCGAAATTAAGTTTGATTAACAAGATTCGGATCTATAAGGTGATCATAAGACCAGCAATGACTTACGCTTGTGCGACTTGGTGTTTTATTGCCAAAAGAAACAAGCAAAGTCTAGGTTCTGCGCTCTATTACTGACGCGTCACGTTTAACGAAATCCATCATAGACACCTGGCCGCTTTCTACTTAAGAGCGTACATTAAGCAGCAGGCGCAGCAACCCTCTGTTGCGCGAGTCAGTGGACTACACAGTCAAGTATTAAGTTCGTAAATCTGTCAAGTGTTTTTAACAATACCTAAGCGCTTTCTGTCCTGAATAATTCTCCTCTTCCTCTCTGCTGTCTCCCTTCCTTCTCCCATTTCCTTCACTTTTTTCCTTAAAATTTTTTAGTTACCAGACCTGACAGTGAATTGATAAATGAGCCAAGACAACATGGAACCTATATACCATATAAGCCAGTGAAATGAGAAAAGAAACGACACCAAAACTTGACGCCTTGGCGCAGTGATTGGAGAGTGTAACAGCTACTGCGCTTGTCTGAGGTTAGGTAAAATTTTAATTTCAAACTGACATGTGCTGATTCAAAAACTAGTAAATCTCCCAAGTTGGACCCTGAAAACTAGTCAGCTGGGTGCCAACTTACAGGTTCCACAAATAACTTCTGTTTTCACGGCAATATTACCTCAATTGGAACAAACTCTTGTATATTTTGTTTATTCTTCTATCAAGGGACACCATCCTAAATGACTCACTCCATAAATCTGGTCGGTCTTCGGACAAAAGATTGAGTTTTCACCAGCATTTTGGACAATATCCGGAATTCCAAACACTGAATATGTTATACAAATATCTAAATAACAGTAACAGTTGCAATAGAGTTGAACTAAATGGTATTTCGTTTGTTGGTGTTCATATGGTGGATCTGTCAAAGTACAGCTCGGTCAGATGGTTCGAGCAGAAGTTTTCAACAAGCTCAAAAATTGTTATATTTTCAAAAAATCCCTCAAATCATAGTTGTGGAAGGGGGTAGGTTTGATTCAAAGAGCAGATGACGCTTTCTATCCGCAAAACGTGTAATTTCCCCAGAACAAAGTTCCCAAATGGTGGAAAGTGGCCCAACATGGCAACCCTGCTAAAGCACCACTGGCACTCCAAACCGTCAAGTCGTTTTTACAGCACGAGCAGCATTGCCGCCGTTTTTCCTGGTATATTCTGAGAAACAGCATCGGGGCTGGTTCTGATTTATCAGGTAAAGGATAAGTCACCCGTAAAGTATACTAAGTGACATATAAATCCGAACACCCAGTTTAAATGGTTTTATTTTAATTAAAGTTGGTGAATGTATTTATCTTACTATAAATAACAAGTGAAAAAATTTTCAGCCTTATCAGTTGGACATTCCGGTTTTTATACTGCTTTTTTTTAATTCACTAACGTTCTAAAAATGAATATTTCAGCCGCAGTAAAGAATCAACGTTGGCAGATATTAGTTCTTGACATCCTTTACGATCGGTTACGATGCCTAGAGTACGGAGACCTGTACGATTTCGTCAACTTAGTGAGTTTGATAGGGGTCGTATAGTGGGACTTCGGGAAGCTGGACTTTCTTTTCGGGCAATTGCAGTTAGAGTGCAAAGAAGTGTAGACACTGTGGTTAGGTGTTGTCAGGCATGGCTTCGAGAAGGCCGTACGCAAAGAGCAAGGGGCAATGGACGCCGCCGTAGAACAACAGACCGTGAAGATCGCCGCCTAAGATTATTGGCCTTAAGGGACCGTTTCTCCACTACCAGGTCCATTGCAAATGAATGGCTTGCAGAACACGAAAGACCTATTGGCATGCGAAGTGTTTACCGACGAATGAGAAGTTTTGGCTTGTTTTCATACCGGCCACACTGGGTCCTCCCTTTAACTCGAGAACAACGACGTAATCGCCTTGAGTGGTGCAGACAACGGTCACTCTGGGATCAGGAATGGAACAGTATTGTCTTTAGTGACGAGTCTCGATTTTGTTTAGGCATGCACGATGGTCGTGCCAGTGGTGCCAGTGACGTGGTGAAAGGAGGAATCCACAGTTTTTTGTTGAAAGACATGTTCATCACACTGTTGGAGTTATGGTTTGGGGTGCTATAGCTTATGGTTCCAGGTCACCTTTAATCTTCATCGGAGGTAACATGAACGCGTAGCGTTATATCCACGAAGTTCTAGAACCCCATCTTTTACCCTATCTTGACACCCTGGCAGATCGAACTTTCCAACAAGATAATGCCCAACCACATGTTGCAAGAGTCACAATAGACTTCTTTCAAAATAATCATGTCACATTGTTACCATGGCCACCAAGATCTCCCGACTTATCCCCAATTGAGCACGTGTGGGATATGATGGGTAGGAGATTGCTCAATTTGCAACGTCCTCCTCAGACTCTAGAAGCACTTCGAGAGGAGTTAGTGGTTGCCTGGAATGAGATACCACAGGAGGACATTGACCACCTGATCAGAAGCATGCCTAGGCGCGTTGGAGAATCCGTAGCACATCAGGGTGCATCCACACATTATTAAAGGTCAAAGGGCTTTAAAGCAGTGCAATCATTTTGAAATTTTTATCATTTACTTATTATGCTCCATTAAGTACTTATACAAAATTTTATTAAAATAAAACCATTTAATCTGGGTGTTCGGATTTATATGTCACTTAGTATATTCCAGGAAGATTTGTCAGATGTTTGAAATCATCTGAACTATCTCTAAACAACCTATTTTCTGATAACGTATTTAACGACGATCGCGTGCATTCTCTGTGAATCGAATGGGTTTTCTATTTAATTTGTGGTCGTAATGGATACCGCTGCTCATGTTTATCATTTACTGCAAGAGATTATTGAAAATGAATCGACGGAGATGATTTAGTATAGCGAGTGAGCGAACTGGTTGGTCCAATAAAAAAATTCAATGTAGCATGTCCAGAATTACAGAAATAATAAAGTAAATATGAATGAATGAAAATGGAGAGATACGCTTATTTCGGTGTAATAACAGTTGTAATAAGTGAAAATAAACTATTGATATAATGAATACAATACAAAGAACTGCATTTCAATTTCCCTTTTTATTTTGTTTTTGTCTTCAGTGACCATTTGAATACAGTTTGGCTCACGTAGAATGGCAGCGATCATTTACTTTACTTAACTTTAGACAATTGCTTACTTTCAATAGAACACCTTGTACATTTTCGCAACATTCTAAATACATTCCTTGTATAACATTACAACACTTAGCTCTAACCTTTTTTGAGGAATATCAAATTTTGTCAATAAAATCATGAATGCTGGTCCATAAATGTCTATTAATTTTTCGTATATTTTTGTCCTTCAGTAGTATTAAATGTTTTAATAATAATACATGAACGTATGAAAATTAGGTTGAAAAAATACCAAAATCCATTTTTGTCAAATGAAACCACCTGTTTCTATAATCTAATTTCGACACATACCATATGTTGTTTCTCATATGGTCCCAGCAAGCAAACATGCTGCCGAAATACGCGTTCAACGATACAACGATTTAGCATCAATCACTCTAAATTCAATTTCCACCCGTCATAAAGGGTAGCTTTGACGCCAAGGGTGAATTCTAGAGAGGCGGATTTTTTTCACTTCAAATTTTGATTCAGCAACGAAGAATACATAGTAATACCGTGGTTGAGCATCTGGCACCAGAAAATCAATTTTTTACACCTTTTTGGGTCTGTTTTTGGTCCTGGAAACGAATACCAGGAATGTAAACATTTCGTTGACCGCAAGTTCGGATTCATCTTTGAAAAATACATGGGAATACCATGTTTCAGCATCTGACATCGGTAACTCAATTTTCACTCCTTATAGGGGTAGTTTTTGGGCCCGTGAACACTAAGTGTATGGAGATTCAGCGTTTAAAAATACCTGTTAATACCATACTACAGCATGTCGCATCTGAAACGTGATTTTCACCACTCCCATGGGCAGTTTTTGTTGGCCCAGGCGTAATCTATAGAGGTGTAGCGATCTTTTGGACCAGAAATTTGACATATGACATCCGAAAATCAATTTTCAAGCCTCCTAGGGCTAGTTCGTAGGCCTGAAGTTGAAGTAGTATATCTTTTCA